ATGCTCGCGCCCGGTTTCTCGCACTTTTCCGGAAGCTGGCAGGATGGCGTGGGCAGCAGCGCCGCCTGCCCGGCCACACCGAGGGGCAGGACAGGAGCCCGCGAGCCCCTTGTGGGGACGGGGTCTGCCTCCTTCCGGGCGTGGATCCCAGGCGGAGCTTGGTCCCTGTCCCGACCCCCAGACAGCGGGGTTGGGCCCCATGTGTCTGCTCTGTAAAACAAACCGAGGCTCCGAGACTGACTATTAAAGTGGGTTTGTAACAATCCGGCCGGGAGTGGTGGGGCCGTCACCTGCGGGGTGGGGAGGTCGCTGGTGGGTGTCACCGAGTCTCCCCGGCCAGCCTGGCTGCTACAGGATCTGTGGAAGGAAACCTTCTCGTACCAGAGGCACAGAACCCAGGGCCCCTTTGCAATGCAGCAGGAGGCCTTATCTGGGGGCGGGGGGACGACTGTCTCACTGGGTAGCCCTGGCCGGCCCCTAGGGGAAGGACGGACCCCTGGCTTCTGACACTTGGTGCGGCAGACAGGATGAGTTTCAGCAGGGCCCACCAGGGGGCGCTGCCGCCTCGGTCTAGGAGCCTGGTTCCCGCAGCGCTGGGACCGTTTGTGACCGCAGACCCAGGGCTCCAGGACTCGAGTAGCAGATCTGGGGTGAGGACAAGGAATACGCATTTTTCTTCTTTGGGCATTTTGAGACAGGGTCTCACTATGTAGTTCAGGCTGGCCTCAAACTGTGATCCTCCTGCCTCAGCCTCACGAGTGTGGGGGTCACCAATGCACCCCAGACCCGGCTCAAGAGTCTGCATTTTTTGCAGCCCTCCAAATTGATTTCCGAATCAGATCGCTTTAGATCCTCAGGCCCTGCTAGGGCGTGGCCACTGTCACCCCAAGGAGAGGTGACCCTAGGGTGCCCAGAAAAGCCTTGTCCCACAAAGGAAGCACATATGTGAAAATTAAAAAACCTCACAGGAAGTACAGGCCTGGGTGAAATAAATGAGGAGCCGAGTTGACCATGGGTGTACTTACCTGGAGATCACTCAAGCAACCTCACTAACTGGTCACAGTTCTCATTTTTTTAGTACAGATGCATCCTGGTCATCTTTAAGGACCAATGTTACTCACTGCAACTTCAGGCCCCTCCTCAGCTCTGCTCTATCAGTCCAGTTGAATTGCACATTGAATGCATTTACCACCCTTGAGTACACACTTACATTAAGCCACCGGTTTGCCTCTGAGCTTCCTGGTGGCCAAAAAGAAAAGGGGAAGTTTGCCAGTTACAGAGCTCTCATTTCCCAAGGTGTCCTCACATGGAGCTGCTAGGAGAATTGTGCCTGGCTGGAATCTAGAATTCAGGACCAGCCCCAAACATGCAAACCTCGATAGCACTTCAAGAATAAGCCACTGAACCAGGGCACACACGAGACCTCCTGGGTGGCCAGCCACGTGCTGGTTGGTAGCAGTGTGAACAGAACCGGTGTTGCTGGCCAGAGGAACCAGGAACCAGTAACTGCCGGGTGACTCCGAGTGCCTGCCTTACCCTGGGGCAGTCTGCAGGGGGGCAGGGCATGTGGCCAGGATGAGACAGCCATGGCGAGGTCGGGAGACAGACAGAGCTCCTTCCCAGCCACAGGCAGGGCCCTCATCAGATGCGAGGTCTTCGCCACTATCCTGGTCACTGAAACACGGCACTCGACACCTGTAACTTCAAGGGGGTGGGGTGTCTTTGCCTCACGGTTTGTGGAGGTTTCAGTCCATGGTAGGCTGGATCCAAGGCAGAGGGGCCCGGTGGAGGGCGGCTGCTCAGGGCACGGTGGGTAGGATGCAGCGAGGGAAGGGAGGAGCCAGCCGAGGGACGCCCCAGTGCCAGCCTCAGCACCCATAATCCTGTCACCGTAAATAAGCCCCAGCGCTGAGCACACGAGGCTCTGAGGGACCTCAACATGGAAAATGGGGGTCCTCTGCTGGACCCGGAGCAGAGCGGGTGTGGACATCCCTGGTGTCCACGCGGACTCCACGGTTCCCAGCCTCAGAGCTGCTCAGGCTGCCTGTGGGCAGGGTGCTTCTGCCCTTCAGCGAAAGTCGGGGTGATCCTGGGACCCCCAGGAGTAGGCAGGAGGAGGCTGGTACTCCCGACAGGAGTCTATCCTGGTATCCCCAAGGGTCCTGGCAGCCGCTGGGGTTGGGGTCCCATCTCTGCCCAGCCCTCAGTGCAGCATGAGGGGTCCTGCTCTTCCGGGGGGCTTCAGGGCTTCATCTTCAAGGAGGGGGTGCCAGAGAGTGTCTCCCTGGAGACAGGGGGCTTGGGATTTCCATCCAGCCGCACCCCACCTTCCTGCATGACCCCAGCCAGATGCTGGGAGCCGGCTCCAGATTTGTCTGCAGAGCCTTCAGAGCCAAAAGACAATGTCAGAGTTCGGGGGTGCGCACTGCACCCGGAGGCTGCTTCCTCCGACTCCCCACCCGCTCAGGATCTCTTGCAGCCAGAAGGGGACAGGACATGAACTTGACCCCCACCCTTCCAGATCCAGAGGCCACATCCTGACACTGTACAGTGGCTCCTGGGACAGCCCCAGGCTGGAGTTGTGCTGTCACCTCTGAGAGTCTGGGAGCTGAGGCAGGGATGGAGCTTCGGAAGGAGGGGCAGGCGAGGACCCTGAGGGCTGGGCTGGGGAGGTCAGGGGCCAGGACTGAGCCGATTTTAAAGCTGGCGTGTTGGATGGGCGCCGCACACATCGGTGGTGCTTGTGTCAGCCAAAACCCCCAGCCTTCCCTGAGTGCAGCTGCCAGCCCCGGCCCGGAGTCACTCAGGAGGCCACTGCAGTGTGGAGGGGCTCTGGTGAGTGTAGATCTTGCATACAGCCTGTACGTGTGCACACAGCACACGTGTGTCCACAGGCAGGACAGGTGGCCACTTGGCACGGGGTCCCTTCCATGCCAGCTCTGAGCTGTGACCAGAGGTTTTCTGCACCCAACCCCCCGACACCACTTCACCGCTGTGCAAAGAAGCAGGGTCAGTCGCTTGGTCCTCCCAGACAGACGCCACCTAAGGCCAGCAGCCCTAAATGTGGGGCTTGCTGACCCCACAGCAGTAAGCAGTTGGCACAGTGCTGACTCAGGGACAGGAAGTAACAACAGCCACCGTGTGCTGAGGGCCAGCCGCCTGCCAGGCCTGGGTCCGAGTCTCATTTCATCCTCCCAGCAGCTCTGCGGGTTGGTATTGGTGCCTTAGAGAAACACCCCAAGAAAAACACACCAGTAATCTCAGTATTTGGGAGGCTGAGGCAGGAGCATTGCCGAGAGTTCAGGCCAGAGGGGTTATCCGGAGAGATCAAAGCCAGCCTCAACTACACAGTGAGACCCTGTCTCCATAGCACAACCAAAAAAGGGGACGAAAACAGGTTCAGAGGAGATGCAGGTCTGCTGGAAGCTGCTCCCCAGTAGGCAGAGATGAGATGGGACCCGTCTGTCTGTCCCACAGGCTCGGGCCATGAATCTCTCTCCCAGACGCTGGGGCCATAATGTATTCTGCACACGAGCCCTGACGTCATGGGGACAATGGCTCCTCACCCTGCTCTCCGCTGCCCTGCAGCCTCCCTCATCTGCTGGGAAGAAAGACAGAGACAGAGGACGGGGGTGCCTATCCCGGTGGAGCGTCGTGATTTCTCTTTTCCACGCTGAGCTCTGTTTGCTCAGCAGATGTCCGGTGGAGGCCTATCAGGTGCCTGTTTCCAAAATGTGCTTCCTGCCATGGCACATTTTCTGGGTTCCTACCCAAGGCCTCGCTCGGCCTTGAGTTCCTTCTAGCAAAACAGGGCGAGTTAGGGTCCCCCCACACGCTGGCGGAGTCTCTACCTTAGCCACGTCTCTGCCTTCTGGGCCTCATCTCCCATTCCTGAACTGGCGGAGAATTCTCAGAGCCGCCTGCAGACTCCAATGCCGCATCCAGGACCCACTCAGCCCCGCAACCCCGAGGACACAGAAATCGCAGCATCACCCCATTCCACAGAGAGGCCGCCATGGCCAGGTGGCCTGGCACGCCCAGGTCACACAGCTGAGACTGTATGGCACCCGGGCCCCAGGACAGGTTCAGTCTCTTGACTGCCACGCTTTCAAACAGGCAGGTACAGCAGATGTACGACCGCCCAGCGGATTCCGAGGTGCTGCTAGGGTTCTGCTCCCAACTTGCTCTCCTGAGCTCCCAGACTGAGTCAGGCACCCTGAAGCTGCACCCGGCTCCCTCTTCTGCTGTCCCTTCTCCCTGCTGTGCCCTAGCCTGTGTTTCTCAAAGGCGTTTGTCTCCTAAAGTGCAGAGCCACAGAAATGGGGCATGTGTCATGTATGTGTGGGGTCTACAGGCTCACTGCAGGGCCCCGATGGACGAGCTTGTGGGCCCTGGGCCCAGGCTGTTCTGGGGTGGGACAGGCTGGCAGCGGGGACAAGAGCCACCCTCAGCAGGCAGGGGCCCCCGGCGCAGAGCCCAGGGCAGTGATGGGGGAGGAGGAAGGGCATCAGGGCCAAGGCGTCGGGGCCCTGGTGGCATTGGGGTCCAGGAGGGACAGGGTCCTGCTTGCACCTTTGAAGGCCCACTTGGGGGCTGCGTGGAGCTGGGGTGGAGGGCTGGAGTTGGGCCAGAGGCACCGAGCCTCAGAATGTCATCTAGAGGCACCCAGGTGGCCTGGGCTGTGAGGGCAGCGACTGTCCCCATCTGCCTGGGACTCGGGAGGTCATTGCTAAGACCTGGTAGGTCCCAGGTCACCCCCAAAGGCACTCAGGGCCCTGCTTCAGCGACGGGTGTGTGGAACCTCACTTGCTTGATTTGGGGACCCTGGAGGAGGAGCATGGCTGGGACAGGTGAGGGAACAAGAGCCGCACAGGGCACGGACCCCGAGCAGGTCAGTACCCATGGTGAGGGGGCCCAGGGAGGAGGGCGGAAGCTTACCCAGGGGTAGCAGGGGCTTCACGGACACCCAGGCCCTGCTGCGGCATCCTGCAGCATCCCTGCCCTCCCAAGGACCATGGTGTCCCCTGCAGGTCAGGGAAATCTACAATGGCCAGAAAGGGCTGCTGCCTACTAAAAGTGAGCAGAAGGCGGGCTGGGACCCCCACAGGTGGTCAGAGTACAGGGACCTGGTCTGCTGTTTCCCAAAACACAGCTCTTCTCCCTCCTCTTCTTCCTCCTCCTTTTCTTCCTCCTCTCCCTCCTCTCCCACCTCCTCCCCGCATCCTCCCGGTTCTGTGGTCCTGTAAGTCCAGCAGCTGACACAGAGACAGCCTGCATGAGGTACATGTGCAGAGCCAGCGGGTGGGGAGTGCAGTTCAGCGGCCCCAGTGGTCTGAGGAACCCACAGAGTCCCCCAGGGAGGGGACCGGTCCCTCGCGGACTTGCCCTCCCTGTGGCTCTGACCCACTGGGGATGAGGGTCACGGAGCAGGGAGCTCTGCGGGAAGGGAGGAGGTCCAGCCTGCTCCAGTGGCCGCCTGCAGGAGGCAGTAGGGGCAGCGGGAGATCTGGCTGACACCAAATCCAGGCAGGACCGTCACGCCTGCCACCGGCGGGCCCTCGTCCTCATCACTGACCTGTGCTTGCAACTTTGTGCACCTGACAGCGGTCAGAAGTCTCGGAACTGCACGGCCAGGCAGGAATGGGGCTGGGCCCTGTGAATGGATGGTAACCTAAGGTGACGTTGGGGAAACGGAGAAGAGGCTTTCCTGTGCACCCTAGTCCAGCTCCTCCGGGCTCGGCTTCCCAGGAGCTCAGAGTGGGGATGGTGTGAGTCTGTCCCCCGCTGGTCCTCGCAGTCAAGCCTCGTCCCAGAAGATGCTAATTTCCTCCCCCTTCCCCTCCCCTTCCCC